GCAGGCTCAGCTGTGCCTCTGGCCAGGCTGGCCCAGCTCAGGGCTGCTGTGCATGCCGGCGCATTCTCCCGGGGATTAGCCCTGCGAGGAATGTGGTGCCGGAGGAATGTCTTCCCGGTGCAACCTGAAACCCTCGCTCTGATGCAGCCTGAAAAACAGGGTGGGTTGTGGCAGCTCCAACAGTGCCATGACCCCTGAGATTGGGGCTGGGGGTCATGGGAAATAATTTCTGGTGTTTGGACTCGAAAAACCTGGACTGGAGCAGTGGCCTTGCATGCTGCATGTCTGGGGTGCAGGCAGCATCCCCCAAGAGCAAAGGACCACAGGTGCGGGCACTGTTGGCAGACTTGGACTCGTCTCCCTCTACATTCTGCCAGTTTCGTGGCACCAAGGTCCTCTGCCTCTACACAGCTAGCTGGGCAGTGGTTATGGGGAAATGGATTTTTCTTCAACACTCTGGGGCTTGAGGGCTCTCGCCCCTCCCTGATACACCCAGCTGCTTGGCACAGCTGTCCATGTAGATGCTGACCTAGCTCTGGAACCACCAGTGCCCTTATCAGCGTGGCATCAGGAGGCGTGTGCTGCTGTGTGCTCTTTCCTACACCACCCCTTGGGCAAAGAGGGTGTAAAGCCATGCTAGCTCTAAGGCCAGCTGGCAAATCCAAAATAAAACTCAATCCACATACGATGCACATTCCTACTGATTCCTTCACCGAGTTCAGCTTTTCCCCACATTGCTTGCTTCAGAGACTGACCACAGCTGGCTTTTTGGTGCCAAGCCTTCCTCTAGCACCTCAAGCACACAGCTTGTATGGCAGTCAGATGGTGCTGCCTCGTTCTCCACCTCGTGAGGGGTGTTTCAGCACTGTGTGAGTCTCCAGGGCCAGGGCTGGGTGTGGAGGGAAGCGTATCTCGTGCGGCTGCTGTGCACAAAGCTGTTTTCCAATGAGCTCATGGCCGGGTCAGCGCCAGAACGAGGGCAAATGGAGCGTAGAGAGGGTTTGCACCCACATGCTGGCCTCATGCAACCTGTATTTGGGACTTAACTTCTGATCAAATTCCTGCCAGGTTATTGCTCAACCTCCTTGTAGGGGCAGGAGCCGTGTGTACTAGATGAAGGCATTTGGCCTCATGCAGCTACACAACAATATCTTTTCTGGCAGCTGCTGCTTTGGGTTTTTTCCCTTCTCCTTGTCTGGAGGGGCTGCCAGAACCCCCTGTGATGACTGGGGATCCTCTCCCCTTATGGGCAGTTCAGCATATTCCTGGTAGCACCCAGCTTTGCCTGTGGCTAGCCCAGCAGATAAAGCACGGAGCAGAGACTTAGGAACTAGTCCAGCATTAAATATGCTGGGACCCTAAAGCTCAGAGCTTCCTTGTACTCCTGCTTGACGTAGCCATGTGAGATTTCCCAGCTGCCCAGCTCCTGTCTCGGAAGCTGAACACCAAGGCAAAGTCCTGGCTAATACTTTAGAGACCCTGTGAGATAGAAAGCTGTGCATTTGGCTCATGATTTGTGTGAGCCCACCTGCAATCCTTTTGTGCTACAAAGACCTGCGGGCAGGTAACCTGCAGAATGAGGTAGGAAAGGAAAGAAGGAAGGAAGCTCTGAGGGCACCACAGAAAAGCCGCAGCAGACTCAGGGGGTGCCATTTTTGTCATGGGTAGATAGAAGAAACACTGTGGCTCTCCCCTCCTTGAAATACAGACAGAAGTTGTTGCAGATGGCCATGTGCTCTGGGATAAGCCTGTTCCTTGAGCAGGGAGGTTGGACCATGTGACCCACTGTGGTTCCTGACCCCTTCTGTGATTCTGTGATTTTGGAGTACCGAGCAGCACAGGTGGCCCTGGGACCTGCTGGTGACAGGAGCAGCTGGACTGAGCTGCCCCCTTACATCCCTGGCCCCAAGCATGCCAAGTACTGCCAGAAAAGAAGCAGAGGCGGACTCATACTGATCAGCAGAACAAAGCCTGATAGGGTTGGGGGCACAGCCACAGAGAGGCTGAAGGAATGGAATGGGATGGCCCCCAGAGGCCTCAGACAGGTCTTCCGGGGCAGGTCGTTGTTGTTTTGCTCTGCCATTCCTTTACCATTAAGAAAAGGTTCTGCATCAAAAGCATGGCATGGAAAGCATGGCATCACCTTCCCTTTTTGCCCTATCTTCCACCAACAGAACAGCAGTGGCTGTGAGATTGCGATAAACAGT